GGACAAGTATATAACTCAATGACGTGAGTTTAGTGTTGGGTCTTGTGAAGGCAAGTTGAAAAGTGATTCTTGGTTGCTTTGCAACTAGTGATTGCTTGTAGACTTCATCGAGGACTGTTTAACACTTGCTTTGCTCGATGATGATTTAATAGTGATGGGCTTGCTTTACTGGATGGTGTTGCGGAAGATCGTGTCGTTGGACTTACATGGTTTTTCCATGTGGCATATCGACTCTACCTTTGTCGATATCATTTGGTTACATTTAGTTCATAATGTTGGATTTCATTGAGTCTTGGACGTGGTGAATCACTCTTTGATAAAGTGTTATCTATAATTGAGTTTTGTTGAAGGATTAGTCTCAGATATTAACTAAAGTATCTTCGACTTTGGTTAACTTAGTTGCTAGAGAGTTTTGGGTGGTGATTCACTCTTGCTTTTTTTTAAGCTTTGTTCTAGTGTTGATGGCATTGAAGTGATGCCTTGTCATTAACATTGTTGATGTTGAGATTTGAGTGAAATGAGATGTCTTTCTATACGATTGATATTGAGTTTCATTAGTCTCGATAAAAATAGTGTTGATGATTTGGCTTTAGCTTTGTGTTATTGGCATTCGGGCATTTTCTAGTTAACAATTGTATTGATGTTCAAATGAACTGAGTAGCAAGTTTGAGTTAGTTGTGTTCTAGACGAGATTGCTTAGTTGAGGTTAAGTTTTGGGCTTTTTCTTGAAAGGTGATTTAGTCATGGACTATGCTAACTTTACAAGTGGAAGAGTTAGTGATCGATGTTAGAATATTTAAATTCTTATTGGATTTGAGTTGGAATATATTGATTATTGATGATTCCTGTTGTGATTGTTATGAAGTGAATTACATCTTGCTGTAAATAGATTTATGGAGGATCGTTTAGTGATCACTTGTTAAGCATAGCTCTATTGTGCTTAGCTTTTGGATTGATGCAGAAACGCTCTTCATTAGCTTTGGCATTCTAAAGTTTGGCTTTATAGATGTGTTAAGGAGGATATTATGGATTGTGGCATGATTTCTTCTTTAGCATTGAAGTTAGTTCATGCGAAACTTATGATCGATTGTTACACAAGACTTAGTTATAGGCTTCTTCGAGCTTTTTGTTCTTTGAGTTTCATGCTCATTGTTCCATTTGTTAAAAGTTGTTGGGGAAGGCATTTTTAGCTCATTAACTTCGATGTTGAAGTTGGTTTTTGCATCTAGCAATCATTGGTGATGATTGACTATTATCTAGGATAATTGATTATCCTTGTAAGAGGTTTTGCTTGATTATTGTTGATCTAGAATGATTTGCTATTCTTCGGGATGGTGGATTCCTTCTTAGACAATAATTCTGCATGTCTCTTTTTGATAGGATTATTAATGATTTTTCATAATGGTTAATTGTTCTCTTTGATGGCTTATAGCTTTTCACAATACCACATATTTTTTGTGGTTTGCTCTGAATTAGTCTTTTGGGTTTGAGACATTTGTAGGACATTGCTGATACTTGTTTAGGCAACTTGAGTTCTTTCGTATTGTTGACTAGGATCTATTCAGATTAACTAATGCAATGTTTGGCATGACTAAGTGTTTGTTGGTCTTACCATATTCATTCTATTCTGTTGATTGTTACTTGAGCTAGTTCTAATAGATTAACATATTATTTCCTTTAGGTGATACATTCGTGAGCGTTATGCTTATTGGTTAATGATACTTTGTATTCTTTGAGTTGTCTTTCATAAGTTGTTTGGCATACTATCTACAATCTTTGGTAGTTAAGCTTTATCATTGAGTTTTCTCGATGATACACTTGCTATTGAATTTTGTTTGATGGTGAATCTTATGTTTCCAAACAATGATGATCTTGGTGGTTTCTATACTATAATACTGGTTTATCAGATGATAACTTATTTGGAATACTTTTGTGTTCTAATCTAAAATATATTCATTGATAATTAAGTCTCTAAGATATCATTGTCTATGACTTTGATATTGTCCATCTATTAATCTTTGAGTTTGGGCCAGTATAGGCAGATTGGCTTCGGCACTTTATGTGCATGGTGAAATCTTTAGTCATGGGGTAGCTACTATCCACTGGTCACATAACCCTCTTCTTTGTCGATATTCCTTATTCCGTTCAAAGGGCATGACCGTGTAAACAACTTTAACTGCCTATTTATAGTAGTTTATCTAAACCTTACTGATGGGTTTGGTTTCTTTGCTTAGGAGGGTTGGGTCCTTTGTCTTCTCTCTCTATGTCCTTGTAGGCAGGGGTGTATCACACTTTTGTAAGTTGGGTGACAACTAGAGTAGCAAGGGTGGCTAACTCCGTTAGTCATTTCCTTGTCGGCGACAGCCAAAAGGTGTCTAAGCTGGTAGCGCATCCGTGTTAAATAAAGAGGTTACTTCCTAACTCATTTAAGTTGGTGCATTTTTCACATAGTGTGAATACCGTAAACTTTTTCTAGAGTTGTTTCCTTGGTAATATTCTAGACTCGAGTATGCATCGACGAGGACGTCGATCTTCCCTAGGGGGGGAGAGTGTCACGAATGTGACTTCGGGTATCGAAAGTTATATGTCGGCTAGTCCTTTCAGATATTCTTTCCTTACTACCACAACAACAGGAGGTCAATATTGCTGGACCCGTTATCAGTCTCCGCCTAAGTTAGTTGAGAAATTGGCCCTTACGTGTGCACTTGACCAGATGAGCATAAGGAAGGAATTCTTAAGTGTCTATTTAGTCATGCATACTTGACCTAGTTAAAGAAACTCATTCATTAACTTGCATTTGCTAGTGTTGGGAAGCCTTGCATTATTGAAATTGGTCCCTCAATATTCGCTAGATGATAGCTTACCATGTCTACCAGGTGTCATGCCCTAATTCGGTCTCAAATGCTATTTATAGAAAGTGTCTAGATTTGCTCATTTGGCATATCTATAGAATGTAGAGATTAGCTTGAACACAATGGTGTTTGTCCCGTGTCTAAATTCACAATGTAACACCATTCCATATTTAGTAAGTTTCAAGCTTATCCCAAAAAGTAACTCTTGATACTAAAGGAGGCTTGGGGTGAAAGCCCAAAGCATGTGTTCTTCGGGGGGGGGGGGGGTTGGGGGTTCAAAATGTATAATAGGGATAGTGGGTAAGTTGGGCATAACCAACCAACCTAAGGTATAGTTTAGCTCCCGCTTGCGTGCTTGTCCTTGTTCTACGTCCGGCTTGGGTCTAAACCTAAGTTCCACACTATGTTAGCTGGTGGAATACTCATATCCTTGCGTTCAGCCACCGGTATGCTGAAATAGCACCAGACACTATTTGGCTCCATTTTGCGTGCTGGTCTTGGCATTGGGATGCTAGATACTCTAGGACTGTTCCAAGTTACTCTGGGCTCCTGTCCCTTCGCTCCTTAGGCTGTACGCTTAGGAGTTGCTCCGTGGTTCGGTTCCGTCACTCTTTGGCTCCATGCTTGGGAGTTTGGCACCGTTCCTTCATTCAGTGGCCCAAAGCCCTGAACCTCGGGTTCCACACCACTGTCCTATGGACATGTGGCATATGACACATGGCATAAAGAGGGTTTAGGTTTTGCTTTATGGTGTTATCCTATGGTAAATCACCATAAAATAAAGGGTAAAAACCACGTGCGCTACATATACTTATGAAGAAGTATATATGCAAAAAAATATTATCAGTTTTTTAATAGGTTTTATTACATATATGTATATAATTATTGATTTGATACTATAAAACTATGTAAATTTTTAATGGTCAATACTCCCAATCCAAGTATAGATGGGGTTTTTTACTTGGCTACCTTATGGGGTTTGGAACCTTATTCTAGCCTTCTAGCCATATGGTTAAGGCATTTTAGTGTTAAAAAATGGTAGAAGTACCCATAAGGCTTGCATTGTATTAAGGTGTTTCAAAATATTAGCTTGAAATCCTTAAATGTGGGACACATGGGACATTTGGGCCCAATTATAAAGTCATTGTGGTTTTATAGGTAACAAGTACTATAAATAGAGATAAGGACTTATGAAGGTTATGAGTGAAACTTTATTGCATGGCTAAAGATGTGGTTAAATACTTAAGGCAAAATAGAAATTTTAGTCACTCATAATATAATTAATTCCAATCTAAATGAAAATTATATATTTAGATTATCTACCTTACAAAAGTGAAAACTAATTTACTATATTCTATAGCAATGCTTAGTTTGCCTTGAATTAATAGCAAATGCTTGAATATTCTAATGTATTCTGATTGTGAATTTTAATATTTTCATAAATCAGAGAAATCTCTAAAGTGCTACTAAAGTATATAGAAAACTCTCTCTCACACACACACACAAAATATCAATCAATCAATCAATCAATGAACATTGGGGGAAACATGTAGAGTATAAACTTTTTTGAATATTGATGGTATACAAGCCCTAACAGATCAATTCAGCCATATATATTTTTTAATCAAAATAGCCTTTTAAAGAAAAGAAAATGTAATTACTATTTCTGGTATAGGTAGATTCTAAATTAGATTGGGTTTACATATTTAGTGTAAAGCTTTTGACTGGATTTTAACACCTTTGTGTTAACTTTAAGTTTTATCAAATTATTTACTGAACATCATTAATGAATCTATGAAATCATTAATTATGTTTTTTTTACTGTATAATGATATAATTGATGCCTTTAGAAATGTATAAAATTTGTATGCTTGTTATTACCTTTCATAATAAATATTTTGAATCAAAGTACATTTCTTTATTTTCTAGAGAAATTGTAATCAGGGCAGGGAAACTCTTTTTGTGTGTTGTGGATAATCAAATTATTTATTTAGATCTAAATAATACATACAAAGATATATATATATATATATATATATATATACAAATGAAATGAGTGTTCCATTTGCTGAGCTGATGACATATCGTCCATGGAATTTGCCTTTGCTTCAAACTCTACTACAACTTCCCAATACTTACAAAGCAGTATATTACTTCCCACGCCCAGCCTTTATAAAAGAAAAAGAGATTCAGGAAAAAGAATATCCAGGGTTTAAAAATTAACAAGCTAGGATTGAACGGCCAGGCGCTGGAGATGCTCGATAAAAACTTGCAAGCTCACGTCGTCCGTAAATATCACCTCCACATTACCATAGGCGTTGGAGTTGTGAGTGACTGACGGATTGAGCTTGGCGAGGAGGAACCTGGCCTGGCTGCCGTGCTGGTCGCATTCCACCAGCCTGGGAACCGGGACCCTGTCCTCCATCACCGCTCTGGCATCGTTCACCGGAGCTTCCAGCAGCGCCTTGAAGCTCTCGTACGCCGGATCGTTGTGGTAGCCGAGCTTCCTCCACTGGGCGATGGTGGAGCCGTAGTGGACGACCACGTAGAAGTAGGAGTCGAAGAGGAGGATTCTCTCCGGAGTGATGGAGCTCACGTCCAGCAGCACCGGGACTGGAGGACCCTCGAACGAGTACGAGAAGAGCGTCGGCTGGATCATGATGAGCGATCCCACCACCCCTTCCCGGTTGAGCATGAGCCGGAAGAAGGCCGTCTCGTCGGGGCTGTTGTTAAACACGGACAGGAACTGCGAGCGCCGGAGGTGGTACATGAACTGCGGGTAAAGCGAGAAGTTGGACGAGAGCCGGAAGGATTGAGCGTCCTCCTTCGTGTAGTCGCCGAACTTGGAGGCCACCCGTATCAAGTTCTTGTCCAGCCACCGGACGATGTCGAAAGTCTCTTCGTTCTCCGTCTTGTGGGCCGCGTACTTTGCCATCACCGCCGCCGCTGCCTCCTGATCAAACGCCGCCTTTGCGTCTTGTTCTTGAGAGGCCTCGATCCATCTGCGAGAAGCCGTCGTCACTCTCAGCCTGGTCTCCCCGTTTCCGTGCTGGTACTGAGTCGCAAACTGGATGAAGAATGGATTCCCTGGTGTGATGCTGGACGAGTTCTGCGCCACCACCTCGAAGAAGACGGCGATGGAGGTCTTGCTGTTTAGAGTGCACAGCTTCCAGGCACTGGTTCCACCTATGCCAAGCTCAGTCTCGCTCACCGAAGTGGATTTCCTCTTCAAGCTCGAGCACGGGCCGATGGCGCCATTTATCTTCACCTCGCGAGTGGTCGTAACTTCAAAGGTGCCATTGAAGCACATCTTGAGCTTTCCTTCCTCGTCCTTCTCGAACAGCTTCCTCAGTGACTTCTTGAATTGCTCCGAGTCGAAAGTCTCGGCCAGGACCATCAAGCCTCCCGTGCTCTGCACCGCGGACTTTGCCTCGGCACAGCCAACCTGGTCCAGCGAGCACGCAAAGATGTCGAGGACGTGGCTGTTCTCCACCAAAGCCTGGCCGATCTGGTTGTAAAACTTGCACGACTTCTTGTAGTGAACAGCATTGTCGTTGACAAGATCCTGGTGCGTCCGGATGCTCTTGCTCCGGTCGGTCTCCACCACTATCCCCGGCCCGATCGTCACGGGACCCGAGACGAAGAGCATGATCCGGGAGCCGACGTTGGCAGCGCATCCTTCCATGAGCCCCGCGGCCACGGCCAAAGCAGCGCCTGTAGCTCGTCGAGGTCGGTGGCCGGCCTGGACGTTGAAAGCATTCGGTTGGAGCTCGTCGATAGCACTGTTGATCTCGAAGTCACACTCGGACGCCGGCAGCAAGAAACGATTTGGAGAGCCTTGTCTTGCCATGCGACCACCTTTGGAAGAGAATCCTAGCAGCTCTTGTATCTGCGATGAAAGAAAAACCAGTTAGAACAAAAGGAAGAGAATGAGAGAACTTTACCCGCTGGCTCGTCAGCTCTCTATCGCCGGGAAAAACTAGAGCTTTCGAGTAGCCCGAGTGGCTAAGAACATGAACATTCACCATCGTCCCAAAGCTGATCAATCCAACTCGAGAGCTCTCGGGGATCATCGCTAGCAGATGCTGGAGCTCCAACTTTAGAGCCTGCAAATCCTCCAACTCCACGCAAGTGTCCACCACGAAGAGGAAGCACGGGGCATTGGAAGGAACAGGCGGGCCGCTCAAACTCAAGTCCTGGAACGATGCCGGCAAAGTTTTATGAGCTCCTGGAAAAGATCCCTGCGGCTGAGCTCCATATCCATACCCCGCGTGTCCAGCGGCTGGGTTGTGTCCCGGAGGATAAATCTGAGCTCCCGGTGGTGCCTGGATCGCCGGAGCCTGCGACGAGAATCCACTCCCAACGCTTGGAAAGCCACCGAATCCCTTCTGTGGGATCACATACTCGACCGTGCTGTAAGTCGGGTAGAGCTCCGCCGGGAGATTGCTCTCGCTCACACCGGCATAGTTTCCAGGGAAATAGTTTCGCTGGAGGCAAAACGGGCATCCCCAGATCCTAGCAGTGTAATCCACGTTGCAGTAGGGATTGAGCACTGCCTGGCACTTACATCGCACTGGCTGGTAGGGAAGAACTGGAAGATCCGGCAGTGGCATCAAGACGTTGGCCATGATCCCAAATGGCACCACCATGCGAGCGGCATCGATCCGGGACGTCGGCCACGCGTTCCACACCCAGCGGAGGCCCTCTGTCGCCTCGATCTCGTTGAAATCCATCCCCGATCGCTGATTCCTGCCTGTGAGCTGCTGGATCGGGACGAATTGCGGCGCGCGGGATCACAGCATTCGCCGCGCGTTACCTAGTGGAATGCTCCGTCCTCTCAAGAACCCTAGACTGCCCAAAATCAACGGCCACGATTGGAAGATCTACCTAGTTTTCATTTTAAGAAAAAAAACGGGTGAGGGTTTTTTCTAGGGTTCTTAGATCCGATCCAGAGGGCGCCAGTGGACGCTAGCGCGATCCAGCTCCAATCCCGCAAGGCGCAAGGTATGCAAGCTTGGATCTTCCCTAGAAATGCGTAGTTTTGCCAGGGCGAGGATTCTTTCTCACTCTTTGGTCTCTAGATGGAGGATTTTGAGAACTACCAGGGACACGAATCACACTCTGATCCATCCAAGCCCTTCGACGATGGCTACTCGGGCTACGATCCGCGCATTAACTCGGCCAGATTCGACGACTCCTTCCGGATGCCCTCTTACTCGGACGAGCATTTCCCTCCTGTGGAGGAATCCAAGGACGATGTCTACGACAACCTGGGCGATGCGTCGCCTGGATACGAGCCCCCGAGCTTTGAGAATGGGGTCCATGGAGTGAGCATGGACTCTCCCTCCAATGCGTTTGGTGATTCCTTTTCCGAGCACCAGGATTTCGGTTCCAGGGGGAATTTCTCTCCGGCCGCCAGCGATTTGAACGGGCAGAGCTTCCCAGCTGCCGAGGAGGGCTACGAGTTTATGGAGGCTCCGGTGTTTGGGTCTGGAAACAATGGCTCTGTTCTTCCTCCACCCGAGGAGATGGAACCGGAAGAAGGATTTTTGCTCCGAGAGTGGAAGAGGTAAGTGCTGGTCTCTTCGATCGAGTTTGGCTTTGTTCTTACGTGTTTTTTTTTTCGTATCTTGGCAGGCAGAACGCTGAGAAGCTGGCCGAGAAGGAACGCCTGGAGAAAGAGCGACTGACTATGATCATGGACGACGCCGACGCTTACAAGGACGAGTTCCTGGCCAAGAGGCACTCCCACTGCGAAGCCCAGAAGAACAACAACCGCGACAAAGAGAAGGTAAGCAAGAAAAAAGAAAAATCACTCTTTGCTCTTGCTAAAGCGTGGGATCGCCACAGGTTTTCCTGGCCGGCCAGGAGCACTTCCACAAGACCGCCGACAAGCACTACTGGAAGGCAGTGTCGGAGCTCATCCCCGCGGAGATCCCGACAATCGAGACCAAGCGCAACAAAGACCGGAACAAAGTCACGGTGATCTTCAACCAGGGGCCCAAGCCAGGCAAGGCCACGGATCTGTCGAGGATGCGCCAGATCCTCCTCAAGCTCAAGCACAATCCTCCGGCTCACATGAAGACCGCCCCGCCGCCGCCACCGCCCAAGGCCGCCGAGGGAGGAGACAAAGCCAAGGAAGCCGAGAACAAAGCTCCGCCAGCGGCATCGCCACCTCCTCCCGTGGTGGAGGCCGCCGCTTGATCGCCATCGCTTCTCTTTTCTTGGAACTAGCAGTGTTCTTACAAGCTCTTAGCTTGTGTAAAGATGATCTCTCATTGGTTTATATCTAAACGATAGCTTGCTACAAATCAAACCAAAGTTTCTTCATGTTCTTACTGATCAACTTCTCTGGATTCTTTGTTCTCATTGATAAGTCAAGCCAGTCAACGTTCGTCTTGGATTTTAGGGCCTACGTGGCAGATTCAGCTGAAACCGGTAGTTACTGGATGAAAGTTTTCGGCTGACTATCCTTACCTGGAGCGCGCATCAAACCAACTGTCTAGAGACCCTCTTTCTCTTCTCTCTAGTTCTTCTTTCACCCTCGATTCCTCTCTTTTTCCTCAAATTTCCACTTGGTGGTCAATCGAAAAGAAGCAAGAGATTACCGGGATGGGAACGCGAGGCTCCTGGAAACCGTGAGTATAGCATGCCTGCGCCCGCATTCCGCCCCGACCGGATAGGAGAAGGCTACAAACCGGCCTCGTACTACAAGCGCTCAAACATCCTGCGAAGGTTTTGCCACCAGAAGAAGCGTAAGGAAGTCGACCCACACTACCAGCAGTACTACCAGGGCCGCCTCCTCACCGACGTCACCGAGGTCCTCAAGCCCAGCTTACCGGGTAGCCCCTTCAAAGACCCGGTCTTCTTCCCGCACCACTGCACCGACGTTACTCAGATCTACGAGAACGCCGGCAAGCTTACCAAGCGCCCCGCCACCGCGCCCGACGTTAGCCACGGCGTGAAGAACTCGGACGTCACCGAGACCAACCGGATCATACCTCCGGGCCACCTTGGCAAAGACCCACACAAGATCCGGCTGCCATACTTTGGGATACGTACGTCGTCCGTCACGGACCCGTCGAGATACATAGACACGTCAGGTTTGCCGCTGCTAAGCTGGTGGGAGAACCGCCCAAACTCGAGGATGCCTGCGAGGCCACAGACGGCCCCGGCGGTGGTGTATCCCCAGCATATGAATCCAGTGGTGTTGCAGAAGCACATACTGGAGAGGAGACCGTATCGGCGGAGCGAGTTCGTGGCGGAGAAGCGGCGGCTCTACAGTGCATCGAAGCCACCATCCTTGGCTGCCTCCATGCCGAGATCGGATCATCAGGCTGGGAAGAACAGCAATGGCGAGTTACTGACGTCTCGGTCGCAGCTCAACTCGGCGAGGAGTAACGTGTCGAGCATGACGGAGAAGACGTCGTCGGCGAGGTCGGACAAGCCCCCGGCGTCGGCAAGATCGTCCGCGAAGTCCCAAGCGTCGTCGGTGGCGCAGCACTCGACCAAGTCCCAGATGTCTGGAACTGGAACTAACAAGTCGGACAAGACCAAGGTTTCCGGGAGCTGTGGATTGAAAGATCTCGAGGTGGGCAGCTCCAAGAGATCCGAGGGAGCTCGATCCAACCCGCCAGTAGCACCAGCAGCGACAGCAAATTCGGAGAAAACTCCGCCTTCCAAGCCGCCATCGTCGAGAGCGACCAAGTCTTCCTCGTCTGGAAAGCCGCCAAAGCCACCGCCGCCATCGTCGTCATCTTTGGTGAATCCTCGCAACTCGCTGCCGGGATTTCCATCGCTCACGGCGGAGGCGCTCGAGAAGCTGGGGCCCGAAAAGATGGACAGGGTCACCAAGTGGGCGGGAGAGCTCCAGACTTGGGCGATACCGGACCATCGATCAAGGCCTCCAAAGCCAGTTTATTATGAAAGGGATCACGGGAGGAAGAGGACCGACGTGACCGATAACTATGTCTGGTAGAGGAATTAGATATGATTTTATTTCTTACTTCAGTCAATAATGAAATTATCATTTCAATCAATAGTTTAATAAAATCATTCTCAAACAATGTGAAGCCAAACAAACTAATACGTAAACTTTATAAGTGTTGGATTGCTTGCAAGCATTTTCAACTAAGAAATGTATTAAAAACTTTTGAAGATGACAAAACTTATTGTTATAAATTTCTTTAAAAACAATCATGGACAACTTTCATTTTCTTTTATGAATTTGAGAACTATAACAAAAAAAATAAAATTCCAACAAAGGTGATATTTTTTATTCTTACCAGTATATCATTCTTTAATTAGTTTTTAATTTTTAGAAAACCAAGTGCAAGGATTATTCTAAGACATTTGATATTATTATCATTAAAAAATGAAGTGCTGATTATTTTAAAAAGATAAGTCAATTCAAAATAGTGAGGTAAACCTTAATGACGTACTCATAATTATTTCAAAACATGGGCTAGATTTTAGAAAATTTAAGAATTTCATATAATTTTATAATAATATGGTTTCAATGATGGTAAGAAGAAAAATATAGATATAGATGATGAGATATTTAGACTATATTGAGAAAAATAAATTATTAAGAAATTGTAAAAATATATAATTATGTGTTATAAAAATAATTTACTATATTATATAGAATGCTTTAGTTTTTTTATATTTCTAATATGATAATGATGTATTTATTAATTTAAATATAAATGTTTTTTGTAGTTTTTCAAAAGATCTTATTTATACATATAAGTCGTTTTTATTTGTATTAATAAATATTTATATACTATCCTCCACCTTGTTCCTACCCCAAATGTATAAAAAACCAAAAAGAATAACTTGAAAGATAATTGATAAATTTAAATATAGACGGAAAATGGCCCATGAACAAGAATGCACCCCTTTTTTTAATTTCAAGTCCAATTTCAAGTCCAAATTCATGAAGTTATACAAACACTATATAACACTATATGATGTGCTAATAGTTAAAACTATTTGTTCTTGAAGAAATTTTTTTATAAAGAGCTCTTTGGAAATTTTCTACTAATTAAAAATTTAATATCTAATAATAAGATCCTTTGTAACACCATCCAATAAACAAGTCCATCACTATTAAATCATCATCAAAGTAAGAAAAGTATTAGTAATTTTTGGCTAAATCTATAAACATTCAGTAATTGCAATGCAACCAACAACCATTCTTTAACTCACTTTTATAAACTAAAACTTAGTCATATACTTATCTAACAATAAAGTAACACTCTAGGTACAACATATAAAATATAAATAAAATTATTTAAATTCAATTGAACTATCATTGCTCACTAATATATCTAACCAATAGCTTTGAGTATGACTAAAAAACTTATGAAGTAGTGGTCATAACTTGTATAAAGTTTAACTCATTTTTAAAGTGTAACTTATCAGCAAATAGAACACTACAAAAAAAAGTTATAATAGTCACTTGTAAATGACTAAATTTTCCATTTTACTTTAGTCACTTAATTATACCTATAACTACTTAAAAAAATCTCACTCACATTCCCAACTTGGGGACATGTTAACCCCATGAATGGCATTTATGCCACTTAGTCTTTGCACTTGATTCAAGTGTTTCACATGTTCAATCCCACAATAAACACCCAAAGGTACAATTGATATCTTAGCCCGTTATGTTAAAGTTATGTCCAAGGATGGTCCAAATTTGAGTTGAGCTCTATTCAACTCAAATCAATGCTAATTAACATAGTTAACCATAATTTTTATAAGAAAATGTTATATTAGAAAAATGTTATTCCTTGGTGAACTTAAAATTCATGAATTTAATTGTCAATGGTTCAGAAAAATTTCTATTTTTTGA